CAAGAAAGTTCAAGAAACAGAAAGCAAGAACGAGCAATCAAATTCTAAGAAATCGTTGGAAAAAGAGGTGTCAAAAGGAAAAGAAACTCTAACCAAGGTACAAGAAACTCCTAGCAAAAAAGAAGTGTCGCCACTTAAGAAGATGCCAGTAACAGAAGCACCAAAGAAGAATGAATTACCACCAAAGAAGATACCGGAAAAGGAGACACAAAAAAGAACCGAATCTCCCTCTAAAAAGGCACCAGAAAAGGAAGAACAAAAGAGAACAGATTCACCTCCAAAAACAAAGCCAACATCAAAAACTGAGGACTCCAAAAAACTGGAAACGGCAATAAAGAAAGAAATAGCTAATAATTCTATGGAAAAGCCGGATTCTAAAAAATCAGAGGTAAAAAATGTTTTTCTAAATTTAATGAAAATTTATTTTTAGAATAAAAAGAGTGAAAGCATAACAGAAAGTAAAAAATTGGAAGAAAAAAAGAAAATAGAAGAAAAGAAAAAAGAAGTTGAAGAAGAATTGGAAGACGAAGATGAATGGACATATGAATATGTAACTGATTCTGAAGGATGAGGAGAGAGAGGTTTTTAAATTGTGAATGAAAAAAAAATTCAAGAAGAGACGGGTTTGGACTTAAAAGGTTTTTAGTAGGAAGAGAAAAAAATTAAATGTTTAAATTTGGAAATTCACTTATGTATACCTCAAAGATGAGACGCAACACCTGTGGCTTAGGACTAAACAAAAATTGTAAAAAGATAATTATAATTTAATCATATTTGGACGTACTTATGTAGTAACATTATCTCTCATTGTCAGAGTTATAAAACCACTTAATAATTATTTTCTGATGTTATTTTATTCTGCTCCTTCTCAAAGATTACAGTAGTGACAGCCCGCAAATGTCTGGCTACAAGTGTTGTGTTGCCTTCAAAACCCCTTTCATATAAAAATTACAAGCCTATTTTTCCATGCAAACAGATAAAAATTGTTAATATTTTCTTATTTGGCTGCAATGTACTATAAACATAATTTTAATTGATTATTTATTTAGATTTTTGGAATAAATAGTAGCAATCATTGTTTATAATCTCTTTGATTTGAACAAACCAGCTTTTCTTAATTTTGCGATAAAAGATTTTGAATTGGCAAACTTTAATAATTTTTTGGCATTCTGTTTTTTTTATTTTAACGCCGCGTTGTTACTTTTTCTTTAAGCGTCGTCATGAAATTTTGTTTTATTCTGATTTTTTCTGATTTTTAATTTTTTAGGGTAGCCATGCCCAGAGCACAATTTGAGTATGATGAAATTGGAAATACTTTTTATTATGTTATTGTTTCATTTTTTGCTGTTATACTCCTCCCATTGACACACTTCTTATGGCCGTCACTTCGTAATATTTTTTAAAAATTATTTAAAAATAATTTTTATTTTTTAAAGCAAAGAGGATAGAATATTTAAAGAGGGGATGTAGATGTGAAGGGGATTTACAAAAACGTTACAAAAAAGAGCAAATAAAACCTTGGGAAAAAGCTAAATGTGTTATTAAAGGAATTATTTTAATTATTTTGTGGATACTTTTTATTTTATTGGCCTATAAAGTTTCTCAATTGGAACAACAATATGAAGAGTTAATTTAAAGATTCATTTAAAAAAATAATTAAAATTTAGATATGACCCTTATAAAATTTTGGGAATTGATATTGTATGGTTTTTTAAATGTTTTTTTTTGTTAAATAATTTAATTTTAAAAGGATTCTGATGTGACAGAAATTAAGAAAAAATACAGAGAACTTTCAAAAACACACCATCCAGATAAAGGTTTTTTAATTAAATTAAATTTTTAGTTTAAATTTAATTATTTTAGGTGGCGATCCAGTAACTTTTGATGCAATTGTTAAAGCTTATAAAGCATTAACTGACGAAGAATCCAGAGAGAATTGGCGTCTTTATGGAAATCCTGATGGGCCAAAAGGTTGGGAAATGTTTTTTAATTGTTTTCTCCTTCTGACGGTCCAATGAACTTTGAAATTTCTAAAATTCTTGAAAAACCTAAATTATATGTCAATCAAAAGATTGAGTCGGATGTCACTGGATTAGACGACTAGTTTTGAAATGCAAATTTCCATAACCTTTATTTTTGTTTTTAGTAGAGTCGTCATTTAATTTTTGGCATTTTTTATCGAAATTGTACTATTATTTTTTAAGCAACAACATTTGGAATTGCTTTACCGAAATGGATTGTTAGTGAACAATACGGGAATTGGGTTCTTGCATTGTATACTTTAGTTTTTATGATTGTTCTTCCAGTTGGAGTGGTTAGTCTTTGCTTTTTTTTTAATTTATATAAAATTTTTTAGGGAATGTGGTGGTATAATTCAATAAAATATAGTGCTGATAAAGTTTTATTAGAAACATCTAGACTTTTTGCCCATTTTTTGCAAAAGACTCCAAACATGCAAATTAATAGTATTTTTTAGTTATAATTTAAATAAATAATTTTTTTTAAAAGGAATTATAATGGTTTTGGCTGGATCTTTTGAATTTTGTAAAAAATTAAATACAGAAATTGTTGAACGAGAAAGTGATGACAAGGAAATTCCAATTGTTATGAGAGAATTGAAAAATTTAGGAGAAAAGAGGAAGGAACAAATTCTTTCTTTGCCGTGGAGTATAAAGGCAAGAACTTTGCTTCACGCCTATTTGACTAGAGTTACGTTGCCTTCCGAGCATTTAATGACTGGTAATTTATATTTAAATAATTTTATCGTCCCTATGTGAAAGGAATGCCGGCATCATATTTTTCCTTATTTCCTTGAAATGTTCCTTAGTTTGTTATTTTTCCTTAACCAAAGACAATGTTTTTCTTTGAATTTTTTCGGACGGAGTTATGTTTGGATCGAGTTTTGGTAGACACGGTCCTCCAAAACTCGGTCCAGACATAACTGGTTCTACCAAAACTCGGTCCAAACATAACTCCGTCCGAAAAAATTAAAAGAAAAACATTGTCTTTGGTTAAGGAAAAATAAATTAAGGAAAAATAACAAACTAAGGAAAAATCACCATTTCAAGGAAATGAGGAAAAATATGATGCCGGCATCCTTTCACATAGGGCCATTTTATCTTTATTAAATTTTAAGTCAAAAATATAGGCCAACCCTATAGAAATTTAATAAATCAATTATTAGACAAAATACCGTCAAAACCAAACACTAAAACCTTTAATTTAAAAAATATTTTAGACCAAAATTACATGGTAAACAAATCTTTAATTTTGACTGAAGAATTTCTTCGCATTCTTCTTCAAATGATGCAATGGCCAATGCAAAGAACACCAACTATCGATTGTTTAGAAAATTCCTTACGAATATTTCCAATGATGGTACAAGCACTTTGGCCGAGAAACAGTAATTTGCTTCAACTTCCTCATCTTGCTGAAAGAAATTTGGCCATACTGAAAAGAGTATTTTATTGATTTTGTAAATTTATTAATTTTCTTAAAGTATCGGGTAAATACTTGTCAGGATTTGGCTAAACTAAATGAATCAAAAAGACGTTCATTGCTCAATACAATCACCTCTGATCAATATGAAGATGTTAATTTAACTAAAAAATTAAATGAAATAATTTTATTTTTTGAAGGTTATTTATGTTCTTTCAATGATGCCAAGATTGGAAATTGAAACAAAAGTTGAAGGTTATTAAAAGGTTTTTTTAATTAAATTCTTTATTTTTAAGTCCAAGGAGAGGATGATAAGGAAACTGTTACAATTGGCTCTGTTGTTACTTTAAAAGTTACACTTACTAGATTTCCTCTTTTGGACTTGGAAAAACGAAAGGAGGAAATTGCAGAAGGGATAAAGAAAGGAGCAGCTTTACAACTTCAACAGGAGTGGGAAAAGTCCATTGATGATAATCGAGATGAAGAAGATGGACAAAAACAAAATAAACGAAAAGTCTGGGAAAAGCAGCCAAAGAAAAAGCCAAAGAAAGGGGGCAAACCGACACAAAAGGTAATTATGGTTTTAATTGAATTTAATTTTTTTAGTCCAAAAAGGCACCACCTCAAAAACAAAATATGCCAATAAATGAGCCAAGCGAGGAGACAAATACAAATGTTGAGAAAACAGACAAAGAAATAACAGATAACAATCAAATCAAACCTATTGACAAAAAACAAAATAATTCTGATCAAAGTGATGATTTCGGAAGCGAGTCTGATGATGAAACTGTTTCTGGTAAGAATGAAGAAAATGAAACTAGTGATAGAGAATCAACGGTTTTTTTTTGCTAAACATTTTTTAAAAAAGTTTAGTAAATTTAGGAACATCAAGGAGGTAAATATGGAGGGCCTTCTTCTAGTGACGATGATGATTGGAATGAAAATGACGAACTTGATGATGATTTTGTAACAAAAAAGGAAGTTTTGTTAGAAAGTGAACCAACAAATTATCACGAAGTTCATTGTCCTTACTATCCTGGTGATAAATATGAATGGTGGTATGTATATTTGCTTGAGAGAAAAACTCGAAAATTTGTTACGTTGGTTCCTTGTAAGACACTTGATAAAGAAAAGACGGTTAATTTTTGAATATTTCTTTGTCAGTTACTTTTTTTAGTTGGATCTACGTTTTGCAGCTCCTTCACAAAAAGGCAACCATTTATATACTTTACATGTCAGATGCGATTCTTATATGGATTTTGATTATTCAGTTGATGTTAAAGTATGTTTTTGATATTATATAGTTTTTCTAAAATTAATTAAAAAAAAGATGGAAGTGCATCCAGCAAGAGAGCCTCCACAAGTTAAATATCACGATTCGGAAGATGAGGCTGATTTACAGGAAAAATTGGATTCATCTGAAGGGGAATATACAGAAGGGTCAGATTCGGAACAAGAAAAATGAAAAAAAGGAGATTTTCTATGGATGTGAATTTTTATTATTATTCAGCTATCTGTTTTGTATTTTGAGTTTATATATTTTATAAGCCTGCTGCTAGAAACCGGGTTTATCTACTTTTTCTGACCTTTCGTAATTGTGGTAAGATCGAAAAATTTCTGACATTTCGGCAGTCTTACACACATAAATACTTTCACTATCCGGCCTTTATTTCTTTGTTATTTGTAAATATTTATATTCATGCGCTGCTAATATTGCGTAAAATACATATTGTTTTAAATACTTTGTTAGTCTGATTTTTAAATATTTTTGGAGAATATTGGATTTATTTTTAGAGTTTATTTTTGCCTTATTATAGTTTTTAATTTATATTAAATTTTTTAGACGATTTATTCTTTTAGTTTCATATGGATCTCTTTTCTGGTGCCGAATTAGCTTTTGGCGAATCTTATTTTATACCTCGGAATCCTAACATTATTAAAATTACAACAGGTTTATAAATTTTTATTTTTTTGTTTTTTTACAAAAATATTTAGATTTACCAGTAAAGACTGTTGTTAGTGCTGAAGTAGGGAAATCTGCTGGCTCATTTGCATTTAACGAGATTGGATTGCAAAATAGATTTATAATTTGGTAAAATTCATAGAAAATGTTTATAGTTTTGAATTAAATTTAATTTAGGCGTGCAGATGGAACAAATCTCTATTTAAATGAGTATTCTATTGACAAAGATCTCATTGACTCCTCACTTTGTTTTAATTTTTCACATTCTCTTATTATTCCTGGAACGCGTTTATTTGTTGTTCGACATAAAATTTTCTTAATTATTGTACCAACACAGTCGGGTATTCACCGTTTTTACATTCATTTGGATAGAAACCAGGACGATTCTTTAGTAATTCTTGTACAATTTTTTGTATTTATTTTAAAAATTGCAGGGGAATCTTTCTATTCTATGTCGATTGCATCAGTCTGGGGAACTTTATGCCACTCACGATTTTAATGCTTGGAAAAGTCCTGGAATTGCAACAAGTTTATCTGTTGGTACTGACCAAAATGGTTCAACTAAAGCAGTTGTTCGGATGTTGGATGGACCTGTTTTACGTATTATTTATCCGTCTATAAGTCCAATGGCAACGGCTATAGCAGGTTTTATTTGGTTATTTCCGCAATATTAATCAAATATAATTAAACAGCTAGTGCTAATAAAAAAATAATTTTTATTAATTTTTAGAGGAATATTTACTTCAAGATGTTGGAATGCTTGCATCATTATTTAAAAAACAACCGGTTGGTATTTTTGATGCAGCCGTTGTGACTAGTGATTCTGGTGAATTACGAATTCTTAGCGTTTCACATGATGGAAAGATTAGAGTTTTGGATGCTTCATCTGGAAATATTTTGTCAATTTTTGATTTAATTGGACAAACTCCAGGGTTTACTTGTCGACAAATTGAAGACATTTCTCTTCGTGTTGTGCAACCTTCTCATGGACAAATAGGAAAATCTGAGTTTTTGCTTGTTCATTTACTTCTTTCAGGCGGCAGTCATGTACGTTTTATTTTAAGTTCGAGTTGTTCCCATATATTGGATTTCGGGAGGGGAGGGAGCAGATAAAATCTAACAGAAAAATTTTAACATAAACCATAGGAAATTTATGAAAAGATTGTTCGAAAAAATTAACTTTTCGTGAAAAAATATTTAATTGTATCAAATGATGAACATGGGAATTATTTCTTTCGATATTCTATTAAGACAATTATTTTATTTATTTTCCTTTTTCAGTTCTTTCTTTTAAAACAAAATGGAAAGAATATAAATGTTTGCTTTTCAACATCACTTGATTATGTAATTTTTTTAAAAATTATTCTTAAATATATTTTTATTTTTTTGAAGATTTACATTAAAGATTTTACTGCAAGAATTATTTCCTCAAATCTTTCCAATAATAAACAAGAGAATTATTGTATTTGGGTTATTGTCAATGAACCACCAGAAATTTGGGATTCCGATGAAGAATTACAGCCATATACATTAATGAAATGTGAATTTAATTCTTATTTGGCTACTTCAGAAAATCAACAAAGTTTTGTGTGGGAAAGTGTTCGTCCAGCTTCTTCTAGTTGTACTGCTGATAATCGACTTTTTAAATATCAAAACTCTGAAGGAATAAAAAATCGAATTTTTGATGGAAATAATTATTCTTTTGATGTTGTTAGTAGAGCTGTTCAGGTTTTTATTTTTGTTTAATACCTTTAAAATACATATTATTTTATATAAACCTATTCTTTTTTTATCCAAAGGAAAAAAGATAAAAGTCTCAGTTATTGGTGATTCTGGCTCCAAATAAAAGTCTCAGTTGAGAAACGACTTTTTTCTAGACTTAAAATCAACCTAGAAAATAGAGAAATTCGTTAATTATGAACAAACATTTTTATTAAACAATTTTTTCTTTTTTAAATATTTTCTTTACTTTTAGATTGTTTGTAAACAACCACAACATGGAATTGAATATGGAAATTGGATTGCTTTAAGTCGTTTGCTAGATGACTTTCTCTCTTCTGGACAAGTTTCTTTTTAATAAAAATATTTTTTTATTTTTTGTTAAGCTTAAACAGCTTTATCTTGATATTGGCGATCCTGTTGATGACACTGAATTGTTACATGATGAAACAAAAATTAAACAAGCATATGAAAAATTTTGGGCAGATTTTCTTAAAACATGTGACCAACTTCAAGAAGAAAGTTTAGAGCCTTTAGCTTTTTGGCATTCTGGATCTACTGGTTTAATTGGCGTCATTCAGAAAGTAAAAAATAAAATTTTTATTTTAAAGTAATTTTTCTAAATTTTTTCAAGTGTCGCTTTACAACTTATTTACCTCCAGATGATCAAATGCAAGCAATTTGTAAACCAACAAATTTAATTGCCAAATTAATCTTTGATATAGTTCGTCCAAGCAATGTATAAATCTAAAATATTTTTTTTTATTTAAACAAATATTTTAGCCTTCAAAATTAAGCAATCCAAATAAAACTTCAGAATTAGTAAATAACAATTCAGATGAAGTTTGTCGTTTAATTAGCAGTTTTGGTTCTCGTGCATCTCCTTTATTGACAAAAAATCCATGCAACTGTTTGTCTTATTTTTACTTTAAAAACATTAAAAAATATTTTTAGTGGTAAAGTTTCGTTCTCATTTTCTTCAATCAAATTTTACTGTTGCTTTAATTGCTATGGCTTTTCGAACTGTAGTTTTGGCACGTCTTAAAATTGCTTGTTTAATTAATAGTCTTGTTGATGTTATTCCACAAATATTGCTAATTTCTGTAAATTTTTTAAATTAAAATAAATTAAGAAATTCTTTTTTAAGTCTGAGGATCGTTTAGATCCAAAATTGGCAATGGTAATTAGTACATATAATAGTCGAGTGGCTCAATCAATTAATTATTACACTACTTTGTGGATTGCTTTATCTGTTCGTCTTGTTAGGTTTTTAACGAATTTCTCTAAAAATTTATTCTAAATTAAAAATTAATTAAAGTCACGACAACATTCCGAAACAAATAAATGTTGCCCAAGCATTTTTAAAATATGGAGTAAATGATAAATTTGTTATGACTCAAAGACTAATGAGTAGAGAAGAAGAAGATATAATTGATAATGAAGCAATTGCTAATAGAATTGTAGATAATCAAATGATGGAAGATGACTTGGAAGACCCGGAAATTATTGAAAATGACCAATTTGATGGATTAGATGAAGATGAACAGGTGAAGAGAGAGTCAAAATGAGAATTAATACAATTAATTTCGTTTATTTGGGAACTTTGAAACTTTAAAAATTGTTGAGAAATCCATTCCATAACTCTAAAAACTTTCGATAAAAAGTTTCAATTTCCTTGCTCCTAAAATTTCTGAATTTTGGTTCTTCATTTACGGCTTATATTTAACCTTAAATCAATTCATCTTTTAATGTTATGATTTTGTATATTTTTAGTTTGACGATGGAGAATATATAACTCATTCTGATGACATTTCCTATAGTTCAATGATTCCAAATATGCATTTATTACCTCCGCCTTCGCGTTGGGATGACACTGTTATTAAAAACTCTCGTACAAAACAAGAGCAACAACAACAAAATCAACAAAGTAGTTTTGGTCGTTTCTTTGCTGATTTAATTGAAGGAATGTTAAATGTTCTTTGGCCAGAATCGCATACTTTAACTTTGCCTTGTTTTTTGGCAGAAAGCAATTTCTTTGATGCTTTAAAAGTAAAATAATTAGAAATTATTTTTACAAAAATTTTTTTAGAATTATTGTTCTTTAAATGAGCCATTTCCATCAGAATTAAATTATTCTTTTCAATTTCTTCAAGCAATAGCTTGTTCTGGACAAAATAAACCAGAAACTGCTTGGACAATATTTCAAGAAATTTCGAAAGGAATTGAAAATGGAGATGAAGTTTTGAATAAATTACTTTTTAATTTATATCCATCACCATCTATTAATTTATTAACAAATAATGGACAACAACAAAATAATAATAATTATCCTATTGATGAGAGAACAATAAAAAATAATAATAATAAACATTCACTTGTTGAGTATTATAATAAAGTAAGGGAAATATTTTTTGATTGAAAAAAATAATATTTTTTTTTATAGATTATGTTTATATTTAAAGAACATAAACATTCTGAATATGTTATTTTGGCTGGAAGTATGGCTGTAAAACATGCAAATGTTGATAGAGATGAATTACTTTTGGTTGAAGAATTATTATTTTTAATTAAAAAAATTTATTTTTTTTTCTTTCTAGTCAGAAGTTTATGCAACATTATTTACTCAACATTTATTAACCAAAACTTATTGGGAAGCTGTCCGTGCTGTTCTTCAAAATCCAAATAAAAACAGACAATCTGTTTGTCTTTATCAATTAATTACTCATTTATTGGATACTCAACAAACAAAAATTCTTGTTGCCCTTCCTTATGGGGAATTGGCAGAAATGGTAGTTGAAATACTCGAAGCTCGTTGTAAGGCAGAAATGGTTGGAAGTGGAACTGGAAGTTATAGTATGTACAATATTGCATATGCTTTTCACATATCTAGATGTGAATATATTAAAGGTTTAAATAAGTGAAGATTTAATTAAAATTATTTTTTTAAAGCTGCCAAATTAATGTATGAACTTTCAATTCGTTTAAGAAGCGAAATTCAGGACCAAGCACTTTTACAAAGAAGATGTAATACTTTAGCGACAATCTTTCAAACTATACAAATTTTTGAAAATAATAAAAATGATGGGGTTTTGATTGTTTTGGATGATATTGAAGAAAAGGTATATACAAAATAATTTTGGAATATTTTTTGATTTTTGGAGGGGTTTTTATGTTATCTAAATAATTTAAAATATAGGAAAATGTTTGTTTTTAATTACACGATTATTTTTTAGCAAAACATTGACAGAGAGAAATCACCAGAAGAGATAGATGAAGAATTTGAATTTGTTGATACTGATGGAAATATTAGTGGTTATTTCAATATTTATTTTAAAATAAATAATTTGTTTTTTAGAACCAAATAAAAAACAACTTTTAATTACAAAAGCAGACATTTCTAGAGAATTACTTAAAATAGAAGCTAGACTTGCATTAATTGATGCTGACCCAACAATAGTTCCTCCTTTGGAAGAGGCTGGAATTTTATACGAATCACTTCGTTATAAACGTTATGATATGGCTTGGCTATTAATAAAGTTTTCTTATTTCATAATAATTTTAAAAAAATTTTTTATAGAGAATATGGATTAAAGCCAAATGATTTATTAGGTCAAATTACGGAAGAAGCAATTCGAATTGATAATGAATTAAATAATGAATATATTAAAAAAGAAATTAATGAGAGTGATAGACAAGATGAGGAAGAAAAGTTGCCTGAATGGGTTTTTTGTAATTCAAATTTTATTAGAGATTTAAGCATTGGAGGGTTTGAATTTATAGGGAAATATTTTTAAATAATTTTTTTTTAATTTTAGAAATCAAAAACCACATTGGCGTATTGTTATTTCCTATTTGGATTTATCTCTTAAACTATCTCCCCACGATTCTTCAATTCTTCGGACAGTTGCTAATGTTTTTCTTAAATTTTCTATAAAATTGCCTGCTTGGCTTGTTCAAAAATATTCTGTTAGTTATTTAAATTAATTTTTAAAGCCCCCTTTTGTTCTTTTATTAACATAACAGAGACATAATGAGAATTTTAAAAATGTTTTTTTCGTTGTATATTTTTAATTTTTTGAATAAATAAATAAATAAAGATAAAACAATAGAAGCCCTCGATAACGTCTTCCCTTCCCCTCCCATTTTCCCTTTTATGTCCTCTCATTTCTGATATGTGACATGTAGAAAATCGACTGTACTAATTTTAATTTTTATAGGAAATTAATTTTGGTGATTTACTTCGTTTATTAATTGATTATGGAGATTTGTCAGATGCATTTTCAATTTTATTGGTACAAATCGAAACAATCAAAAAACATTTAAATGAGAAGACTGCACAACAAATTATTATTAATCCTTTGACAAAAAGTAGTGAAGGCCCAGATGAAATGCTTTCTTTATTGCCATTAGTTCATATTGAAATGCTTTTTCAAATTGCAGAAAAAGATGAAAATAGAATGAATTTGGTTAGAATTTAAAAATAATTTTTTTAATTAAAAATTTTCAAGCCAATTGCTGAGACGACAACAAAACTTAAGGAATTTTATGCTTATCATAGAGCAATTAGCCGAAACCCAGTGAAAAATATTTGACTTGAAAAGACGTGAAAAAATGAATTAATTGTAGCGATTGACTGCCACTTCCTGTTTGACATTATTTATTGTATTTCTTTAATTATAAATTTTAATAATCATAATTTTGAAAAAATTTCTAAAAAAAATTTTTTTAGTTGTGACAGACAAGGGCGTAGCTAGGGCGATTTAAGGGGGCTAAAATTAGGTGTGTGCCAAAATTTTGACGTTTAAAATTTTGGCGCTCTGGCTACGCCGTTGATGACAGAAACATAATTTTAAGAAAAACGATGCCCAGTGCAGGAATCGAACCTGCGTCGTCTCGGCCACAACGAGAAGTACTAACCACTATACTAACTGGGCCGAAAGTTCTGGTACTAAAATGGAAATATAAACCCAATTCATGTAACAAAATTAAACGGCACATTTAACTAGTGGCGAACTAATGGACGATTTGATTTAATTTAATAAAAACATTTTCAGCTCTCAAAAAGCTCATCATTGTGATATGAATCCTAGCGAAATCTGATAGTAAATTTACTCATCCTAAAGCTTAAAATTTCAAAAAATTTCATTCTTAAGCTACCTCATTCTAACTTGTTATTTTCAAATCACGAGTTTCTTTCCTAAAATATTAGCAGAACAAACGTATCTCTTACAAATTTATCTCATTTCCACATTTACAAATGAAATATATAAAAGTGTGAAAAATTAATAGATGCAAGCTTTACAAAAATACAAAACATTCATTTAAAAATTCAAACATTGCATCTAATTAAGCAAAATCACAAGAATAATAAAATAAAAAAAACGTTTTTTTCAAATAATTTATAATATATTCCTGCCAATTTTTTCAATATCAGGAAAGAGATTGGAAATATAACGAACACCAATACTGCATTGGGGTAAATCTTTAACCAAATTAATTGTAGTGCTTAAAATAAATAAAGCTTTTGCATAGAGAACTTGTGGACTTTCATTTTGTTGCATTGCTTGCTAAAAATTAAAGAAAATTTTCTAAAAAAATTTTTTTATTCCTTACATCAACAATAGATACAAAATATCTTTTAACTCCCTCAGAATCATTTATTTTGCCTGACAAATTTTTCGGAACAAAATAAATAAAATAAGCAAGAAATGTCTTTATTTTAAATATTGACATTGCCATTTGATGTGTCATTCCATTTACTTTTAAACTTCTATTGTAAATTCGATCACTTCGATATAATTGGAAAAGAAGTTCCATCGCTAAAATAAAGATTTAAGGGTGTTATTCATAAATCCTCCCCCTTGTGAGGGAAGGAGCAGGCTTCCTTTTATATAAAGAAAAAAAGGGTGATCGAAAGGTGATTAAAATTGGGCGGAAATTTCCCCACGTCCCAGGGTATTGATAAAATAATTCACATTTAGAAAACTGGAATTGTTGTTGTAATGCCAATTGATAAGCCTGTTGCTGTTGAAAAAGTTGAGTTGCGGGGATGAGTGGTGGAAGTGCTTGAGTACCAAAAGGTCCACCATCATAAGATATTCCTGCACGTTCTCTCTCATAGTCCCTCCATGCTTCTGCTCGTTCCTATTTTAAAAGAAATTTTTTAAATAAATTATTTATTTCAGTACCTCATCATTAAGTCTTTCATCCTCCAATTCGTCGAATAATATGTCGTGTGGATGATAACTAACAATTGCATCCGTTTTCTCCAAAATAATATCACCCAAAAGACGATCTTTTGGAGGGTCTAATCGAGGTCCTTGTCCATCAAGATCATTTGAAAGAGTATCTGGTTCAAATAGATACATTTCTTCTAATTCCTGACTCGTGTAATGTCTTTGAATTTGGGCAGCTTGAGTAACTCGTTTTGCTATTGATTCCTTGGTTACTTGTCGATTGTAAATACGTTCCTCCATCGTCCCCTAACAATTGAAAAAAAAATAATTTAAAAACAAAAATAAAAATTACAACCTGAGCAACAAATCTGTATATATAAACAGGCTTAACTTGTCCAAACCGATAAACTCTAAATAAACTCTGGGTATCGTGAGATGGATTCCAAGAACCTAAAAAATTTTTAATTTTTAAAATAAATAAATTTCATACAATCAAAAATAACAACTCTATTTGCCCCAATCAAATTAGTACCCAAAGAGCCTGCTTTTGTAGAAATAAGCAAAAGACGATTTCTATAATTTAGTAGTTAATATTTAATTAAATTTTATTTATAATTTAACCTTAAATTTAAAGGATCATTAAAATCCTTTTGAATTTGATCACGTAAAACAATAGAAACACTTCCATCAATAACCGAATAATCCAAGCTTTTATGCCATCCCCACTTTTCCCCATCTGCCATCATTAAAGCTCGATGTCCATCCACAAACCACCCAGAATTTCGAGTAAAATATCTTAGCATTCGTTCCATAAGAGCAATAGAACTCAAAAATTGAGAAAAAACAAGTCTGAAAAGAAATAAATTTTATAAGTTACAGGCCTTTTATTTTCTTGGTGGGATCGAATTATATTTTTAGCACATTCTGATAGTTTAATCAAAAAGTGTTAATTGACAAATAAGTTAGATAGATTTTTGAATTATTCTTGTTTAATTTTAATTAATTTCTTTAAAATTTACAATTTATCTCCAATCTTTTCACATTTTTTAATAATTTCAATAAGAAGTAGTAATTTGTTGCTTAAAGCAAAATTATCTCGATCATCTTCAGAAACTAAATCTTTTGCCCAATTTTCTAAAGAAGGTGAAGAATTATTTATTTTGAGATCATTATGCATTCTCTTCAAAGATTTCCTTTCGAACTCATTTTTATTGTAAGAAGTTGAGGGATTATTCCTATAAAATAAGATTTTTTTAATTTTAAAACTAATTTTACATAACGACAATATCATCAGCATCACTACTTTCTGTGTCAGATACATAATCATCAACAATAAAATCATCAATTGCAGTTTGAGAAGATTTATTTTGCTCAAGTTTCATTTTTTCTACCAAAAGATATGGATGCGTCCAAACACGATAAAGACTTAAATTATTAACTTATTAAGTAACAATTAACAATTTTTCATTATTGTTTAGTTGCTAAATTTTTATTTTATCCTTCCAACTCCAAAAAACCATTTCTATTTTTTAAAAAAGGATAAAATACTAGGGAAAAAATTAAAAACAAACATCAAATGATCATAAAGAAGTCTAATACCGACTTCACCGCTTGCACAACGTCTTTCCTCGATTAAATTTCGAAAATCCAAATATTTTTTATACAAATCAATTTGGACCTTTAAAATACTTTATTTAAATTTATAAATTAAATAAACTTTAGTTAGGCGAATATTTATAACGTATTCTTGTTTTGGAGGAAGAGAATTCCTTTTAAAAATCAAATAAAAGTAGAAATATTTACAAAACAACCTCAAAACACTATAATCCCGCCAATCCAAGACACATTTAAGTCGATCAAAAAGTACATGACATCTTCTACGCATGCGACGAACATCGTAAGCACTTGCATCTTTTGCCCTTCCACATTTTATTATATTAGAAAAACGGCTTTTAAATTCATCAAGACTACCAAGAAGATTTGGCCTTACAAAGTTGACCATACTTAAATTTTAAATATTAATTAAGAATAAATGTAGAAAAAGATATAGAACATATTAAGGTGTGCTCCGTCTTATTTTTCTCCCTTTAAAGATTTTTTGAGTAGTCTGAATGAATAAAAGGCAGTTCGTAAGAGTAGAAAAAAAATGTATTTATAGAAAACATAGTTCCGAAAAAAAGCCCCCATGAGGCTCAATTTTTCAACTATCCAAGGGCTATATTTCAGGGTGGGGTTCCTATTCAGGGTACGGTTTTATTTACTGAAATAAGGTAAATTCAATACAAACCAATAATACTCTTCTAAATTATTCTGTAGAGGTGTTCCAGTCATACAAATTCTTCTCTTCGTTTTTATTCTATTAATTGTATGGAAAAGCCCTGTTGAAGGTGATTTGAGTTTATGGCCTTCATCACAAACAATTAAATGTGGAGCTAGAAAAATATAAAAATGTGTGCAAAAGTAATGTCCGCTACACATGAATTTTGGATTTTGATTTGCTAGGTTGTTATTCACCAATTAAGATTTTTAATTTGGCAAATAATAAACCGATATTTGACGATTTAATAGTATGACAAAAATATATATAAATTATTCATATTGAAAATTTGCAACAATTAGACCAAAAATTTTTTAGTTAAAACCGATAAAAAATAATTATGCGCCAAATTAATTAAATTAACAAAACTACATCGTAAAGTATAGCATTTAATTCCTAAGGACGTGCAGGAGGCTGCGTGGTATAATGGATACCAAATCAGTCTGGTCAACTGATGCTGGTTCGTTCTCAGACGTCGAATAACATTTTACACTAAATGAAATAAATAGCCCAGCACGGCTTTACTTAACAAAAGCCAAAATTTAGGTTAGCGGACATCACTTTTTCCCACAAAAGTACTTACCATTCTGTAGATATTCACAAAACTGCGGCCGAAGCTTTGCTAACTTTTCTTCATTTAAAGTCAATAATTTCCTCTTCAAGGGTAGATTCTTCCTTCGATTCCTATTCATATTAGCCTTATCCTCATCAGTAAAAGTTAGAATTCTAAATAGTTCATAACCAATTATAAGCACAGCAGGTCTTTCATAATTAATCCAACGTTTAACTGTTTTAAGACGTTCCTCATGAGTCTTCCAAGAATCTAATTCCAAATACTAACAAAAATAAAAATACTAAATTAATTACACAAAAACATACATTAATCGAATCAGTCTCTCCATAAAGCCATTTTTCAAATTCATTCATCCAATTTAAAACAACATTTTTAGGAACAACTACCAAAACTTTATTGATTTTCTTTGAAATTTTTTCATGCGTCAAAATAGTGTGAAGAAACGCAATAATTTGCAAAGTTTTTCCGAGACCCATACAATGACCAAGTATTGCTATAGATTTATAAAATAAAAAATTAAAGTAGTAAAAAATTCTTTTACCTCCACCACCAGGTTCATCCAATCGAGAAAGTGATTCTATTGTACAATTATAGAGGAATTGAATTCCTTCAGCCTGATGTTTCTTCAACACTTTGACGAGAAATGGATGTACTCGAACGGGAATTGGAGCTTCACTCTCACTATCTCGGTCCAAAATTACACTTTTTAACGTTGGATTTCCGTGTTCATCTTATAATATAAATATTAAAACAGAAAAACTTTTTAAAAGGCGAGCAAAAATTATTTAAAAACATACCTGTACATTCAAAGGTGCTACATCCCGAATCGTCAGTATTTAATTCAATACCATTAAAAACACTTTTAGATTCTTCCAATCGTTTTCGTCTTTCCCTCTCAGATTTCTCAGCATCCAACGTTTCTTGTGCCAGTCTAACAAGAGGAATATTGTGTTTACCAGTATATTCAGGCAAATCATCATCGTCACTAAGTTTAAGAAGATCATCGTCATCAATACAAATAATATCTGCCTTCTTTTTTGTTCTAGGTTCGCAAACTAAACCATTCACCTCATCCTGAACAAAAAATAAAATTGACAACATAAATACAAACCTTTTTTAATGAGGTAGAAGGAAAATTTCCATTTGAATTGACCTTGCACTCGTCGTCAGAAAGAACAACACATTTCCTTAAAAAACAAAATATGCGATGAAAATTCATTTGTGTAGGAAAGATCTAAAGAAACAAAAAAATACATACCTATCACTACCCGCTTCTTCGTAATCTACAATTATGTCATTGTCATCACTATCTATTTGTAAAGGAGAAGAGCACAGGAAAGGCTTCATGCTAATCAGAAAAGCTACTCTAAATAAGAATCAGAACAAAAATTAATCAGAAAATAACAATGGACATATAACCAATGCAAAACCAAAAGAATTTAAGATGAATGTTTATCAATAAAAGATCAATGTCCAAAAGTGTCAAGGTAATGAGGGAATCAATTTGCAATAAACTCGTCTACATAAAGTACTATGCGAAATTTACAAACATAAAAAATAAAACTTTCAAAAATATAATAAAAATATCAAAATTATTAGCCATTGGTTGTATTTTCTTCAATATTCAAATCTGGAAATAATCCAGCAGCATAGGCAAGTCCAATAGAACATTGAGGCACATTCCGAACTAGTTTGACTGTTGTTCTTAAAGCAAACAATGCTTTTTGATATACAGTTTGTGCGCTCTCAT